GTACATAAGGTCATTACACAGCCCCCTCTTCTGGAAGGGCTGTCCCCAGCACTTCCGTCATCACTTCCACTTCTTGGGCGACCGGTAGATCTCCTGGCGTGTGCGGCGTTCCTGAGACGACGGGGGCTACCGGCTTTAACGAGTTGAAGTGTACAATGGAGCTCTCGCGCTCTGGGTCTGTCCCAGCCTTGGTCACGCGGCAAGTACTTGGGCTCAATATTTCGACTACGACAAATGGTCCGGTCCATTCGTGCTTAAACTTTGTGGGCATACCCGGGACTGCAGTTGACTTCTTCAGCCATACTTGCTCACCTGGTTGTAGCGGTGCGCCATGCACCTTTCTATCGTAGTACTCTTTCTGATGCCGTTGCGCCGTCTGGATATGCGAACGCGCCAAGCGGTGACCTTCGATCAGCGTTCTTCTTAGATTCACCACATATTCGGTCGAGGTTAGCGGTGTCTCAGCGGCATTCGGTGTGGTTAGGTCGATTGGCAGTCGCATCTCTCGGCCAGTGATCATGAAATGAGGAGTTTGGCCCGTGGACGACTGGATGGTGGCCCGGTAGGCTAATAGACAGAGGGGTAGTGCGGCGTCCCAATGACGAGTGCTCTGGCGGGTGACGAATGCTTTCAATAGGCCTTTCAGAGTACGGTTGGTTCTCTCGACTAGCCCGTTTCCTTGCGGATGATAGGGCGTCGTGCGGGTCTTCTTAACACCTAGGGCGTGACAGAGATCGGCCATTAATAAACCTTCGAAATTGGCACCTTGATCAGTATGCAAGTATAGAGGCGCACCCCATCGGGCTATCCAGGTATTGCAGATCGTTTGAGCTACCGTAGCTGCATCGGCCTTGTCGATTGCGTCCGCTTCACACCACTTGGTAAAATAATCTACCATGACCACTATGTACCGGTTGCCTTTACGTGTCTCGGGGAGGGGTCCGATTATGTCGACTCCCAATCTTTCGTTGGGAAAACCCGCCATCATGGGGGTCAATGGCGCTCGGTTGGTGATCCTTGGGGGTTTGAACTGCAAACAGAGTTGACAGTTGTTACAGAAGTTGACTACATCTCTAACTTGATGCGGCCACCAGAAGCGTTGTCTTACCGCAGCAATCATCTTCTTTTGCCCCACATGCCCCAACTCCCGATGTAGTTCCGTCATAACTGTTAGCACCACCGACTGGGGCACCACTATTCTCCGGTTGTATGCTGGACCATGTTGGAAATATAGGATACCATCGAGTATTAAGAGATGCTCCCATAAACTCCATAAGCACATAGTTTCCCAGCTACTGCCTTTCATCTCTTCTCGCGTAGGCTTTCGACCGTTTTCTGACATACGTCGATAGATTAACCCCAGTTCTGGATCTTCGACTTGCCGTTTCTTCCAAGGATCGGATTGTACCGCTCTCAGCGAAATTACCGCCGTGTGGATACCGCAGCACGTCGGACAATCGCCATGTGGTCGACAGGGTCTTCTGGATAGAGCATCGGCGTTACGATGGCTCGTTCCAGCCCGGTGGGTGCATTTAAAGTTGTACTCTTGCAGGGCTTCTTGCCACCGAGCGGTTTGTCCCGTCGCGTCTTTGAAATTACGGAGCCATACGAGTGCTTGGTGGTCCGTACGTACGATGAACTCTTTACCCAGCAGGTAGTGTCGAAAATACTTCAGGAAGAAAATCAATGCTAACATTTCCTTCCGGGTGGTACAATAATTACGCTCGTGCTTATTCAGGCAGCGGCTTCCAAAAGCTATGACTCGCTCCTGACCATCTTGCTGCTGGGATAGGACGGCACCGATGCCTACATCACTTGCATCTGTGTCTAGGATAAAAGGTTCGGCACCCTGGGAGATGTCTGGTGGGGCCAGGATCGGAGCTCTGGTCAGAGTTTTCTTCAGGGTCTCGAACGCGGACTGGCACTCGTCTGTCCAGGAAAACCGACTTCTTTTCTCAACCAATCGGTGTAGTGGGGCGGCAATCCGCGCGAAGTCTTTTACGAATCGTCTGTAATAGGACGCCAGACCCACGAAGCTGCGTACTTCTTCCGCGTTACCGGGAGTTGGCCAATTGACGATCTTCGCAATCTTATCGGGGTCTGTCTGCACGCCTTCCATGCTTATAACGTGACCCAGATAGTTTACTTTTGGACGTAAGATTTGACACTTAGATGGCTTTAACTTCAGCCCCACGGCCTTGAGCTTTTCGAAAATTGCTCGTAGGCTTTTTAGATGCCCTTCGAAGGTTTTACTATACACGACGATGTCGTCGAGATAGACTAAACACTCCCCCGGAATCAGGTCGGATAGCACCGTCTGCATTAGACGCTGGAACGTCGCAGGAGCGTTAGTTAAGCCGAACGGCATGGTGTGAAATTCATATAACCCAGAAGGGACCACGAACGCCGTCTTCTCCTTGTCATCTGGATGGACTTCGACCTGCCAATAACCTGATGCTAGATCTAGGGTGGAGAAGAACCGGGCGTTAGCCAGTGACTCTAAAGTCTCGTCAATCCGGGGTAGTGGAAACGAATCTCTTTTTGTCAGGCTGTTGAGTTCACGGTAGTCCACACATAGTCGTAGGCTGCCATCTTTTTTCTTCACTAACACTACCGGTGACGCCCAGGGTGAGGTCGAGGGTCGGATTACCTGATTGTCTAACATTTCCCGTAGCATGCGATCGAGTTCGGGTCTGTAGTGTACGGGAACGCGCCGTGGTGGGCTCTTCTTTGGTTCAGCGCCTTGTGTGTCAATTCTATGGGTCACAACATTGGTACGTCCCAAATCATTTTTTGACCAAGCGAATGCGTCTATGTTAGCCAGCAGTAACTCCCGTAGTTGTACCTGTTCTTCGCTCGATATTAACCCGTTCGTCGCACACAGCCGATTGAGCTGGTCTTCGTCCGGTTTGTGGTATGCCTCAACCGCGCACACTAGGAACTCTTTTGGAAGGTGAAGTCTATTTGGACGGTCGTACTGGAAGTTCTCCCCCCTGAACCGAAACAAACCAAGTTGTGGGCTAAGCGAGCAGTCGAACCGTGCCAAGCAATCCATCCCCAGAATGGCGGACCACGGTAACTTCCTAACGACTATCGCTTCGTGAGTGAAGTTTTGCTTGCCGATACTGACGGTTACCGTTGTTTTTCCCGCAGTGGCAATCTCTGTGCCGTTCGCCGCCCAAACTTTTTCATGACACTGTTCACGAGTCGGTGGAATATTTGGCCCTTGCCGTACTAGGGTGCGCTCTGACCCAGTATCTAATAACACGTCTCCCGGAACACCATTAATGCACCCTTTTATCAGAGGAACATGATGATTTTGGGCATTTATGGCAGGAACATGAACACAAAATTTCGGGGACTTACTCGCATAATGTCCTCGTGGTGGTCCTTCGTTCCTGTTCCTGTCTCTATCCCGGCGTCGGCTATTCGGACTCCATCCACCGAAACGTTTGCCGAGGTTTTGGGGGTATTCACGTTGTCCGTGCTCTGGCCTTCTCGGTTCACTTAGAACAGCAGGAGGTTTGCGACTGCTACAGTTCTCCTTCCGCGTTGCTCGGTCAATCGCCTCCGTTATGTTGTTGGCTGGGGCGTCTTCAAATGACTCCAACGCAGCCGGCGACCGCACCCCGTCCATAAAACGAAACAGCACCAGCTGCTCTCTGGTTTCTGCGTCGAACTGCGGGTACGCCTGGGACGCAAGTTTATGCAACTCTGCAGCGTATTGTCGGGCAGTCTCCGCTGAAGTTTGTGTGCGGTAGCGAAAGGCGTTGCGGAACTCTCGCAGAGGCCTGGGGGG